AGAACTGGTTCTATTGGTAACCTGGAACTCCTGATCCATATTGAGCTGACTAATGCCAGTTCTTATTTTCATCATTAATATCCTTTTGCATATCACAACATGAGCACTAGTCAACTCTTAGCACAATGAACGTCATGGCTGAAATGAGCCAGTGAAATAACATCTCACACAGAAGATTTTTAAACACAGGTTTTAGATTGAAAAGCATTTGCAATTGCTCAGCTAGGTATCTTTTGCTAGCACTAGATTTACAATTTATTGTTCTCCTATTGTCTGGCACAGTACAGTGGAGCCTTCTCCAGTAATAATTCAGTTTGCTAGGAACAGATCTTTTGATTTGTCAGTACTCCTGTGATTTTGGGAGTTTTTATGGCAGCAGTTATCATGAATGTGAAGTATTTCACACGTTATGGTGAATGTTATGAAAATATTTTATTAATTACTGCAACAAGAAGGGCAGCAACTAAACATTACACTCAGACTTTACATGAAGTATAAAACGTGAAGGTACAATCTTTTTAGTTTAGGTGTTTCCATATTACATGCTGTTAAGGTGGTGCCTATTCCATAGATACAAATCTCATAGAGTAATGAAAGCTTCAAATACTGGGAAAACACGCATTCAGGAACATATGCGTCTCCAAAAGGTAATGAACAGGTTCCAACATAAATAGGTTTAATTTGACTTGTAAAAAAGAGGCGATAAAATGACAAAAACCACGAATCCCCTTTCTCCCTCCTCCATTGCATTAGTTTCTATAGTAAGCCATTCAACAGGGAAAATTGGTATTTAGCAGAATGTTTATCAGTATTCCCATGCATAAACTCTACTCTAGTCTTAATCAGTATGGAACACAGAAAGAGACGGAAAATTATTTCTCCTCACTTTTTGTACAACATTTTTCCACTATGAAAATTGTAGCTAGCAGTTATTCAGATTTTCATTGAAGAAATATTTTAATAAAAGAACCTGTGTAATTACAAGAACCAGAATTTTCAAGCGTAGTTTACATGACATTTTAAATTAAAACACCGCACAATTTTCTCCTACCATGACAACTACAGAGTTTTCCACTTTATTAATGTATTTAAGCATCACTTTTGCTACAAGTTTTTTTTAAAAAAAAGTAATTTCCAGAGCAAATTAAACCATGGAAAAATTCCTTCCATTAAATCATTATGACAGTTAAATTCTTTAGTTGTCTGGTTTTTAATTTTTAAAACCAGCATTTAAGATTCTGTAAATTTTGCCTTAGGGAATTAGTTTCCAGCATCTTAACTCTCATTCAAAAATTATCAACTCAAAAGGTCTTGATGTTATAACACTGATCCTGGTAGTAAATACATTTCTGTGAGTTTCCTCCACAGTTCCTAGCCTCAAGAATAATACTTTCCTAGAAATACTGGAAAGCAAGAAACAAGTTGGAGATAAGCCAAAAATAATCATTGCTGCTATATAAATAAGAATGCCAGGTTCCAAAAGAATGTATCATCTAATGTGCTATCTCCAAATTACTCAATTGCTTAATTTAACGTCAACAGTCTTAAGCATCTAAGCAGGCTTATTCACATAAAAAACGGGGATAAACGCTTGCAAGACTACAACATGTCTAGATTACATTCAGAAATAAAAGACATGAGAAAAGCAGGTTTTAATGTTATATATTTTATTTCCTCACTTTGTTTCTTCATTTACTTGTTAGTTTTTGCTTAGTGGTTGGATGTACATATTCTGCTTTTAGGGTTCTGGCTTGCCTGCTGTCCTTACCAGCATTTACTGTTTCAATTTTTCACTTTTTTTTTTTTTTTTTTTTTTTTTTAAAATCATTAAACCAATATTCAGGATGAGATATAGTTTTAATCAGTCAACTTAGCTAGAGTGAAGGGACACTAAGCAACACAGGCATAGATAAAAACAGAGCATATCGGAATATATGTTTTTACAGTGTACAGGAACAATGCAATGTGTTCAAAGGTCAGGTAACTACAATGACAACCACCTGCATGACTATATATGGAAATTAGTCTTCAAGTAATCATACAATCAGGTGTTATTACACCAACCATGCAAACGATAAACCATAAGCACACCTTGATATTACATGAAATTACTTAGTACAGTTCAGAGGACCTCCCCACAAAATCTTGGCTGCATTTCCTCCGACCACCAGATCAGTCTGTATAATGTTCATATTTCACAGTTCATGACGGCATCAAGGAATACACACGTGCATTTAAATGTCTTAGTATAATCACTTGTGTCTACCTGCAAGAGACAGCTGAGGTTTCATTCGAGTCACACTAACCACACAGGGGAACATCTCACATATATCCACAGAGCAGATGAGCCTTAAGAAGAACAGTAATTCTACCTCAGAATTAAGAAACAACAAAGAGAATAAAAGCACAGTCAACATGCTCTTGTGCCCCAGGACCTGCTGGTCCAAGGCAAAGTTACTCAGTGTCTTAAAACAATTACGTTAACCTGCAGAGGTGTGTGGTAAAGAAGCAATGAAGGCCAAAGAAGATAGTCCAGGGTGTGGAAGATAATGCAAGAGGACTGCCCAAACAGGGAAAAGAAAAAAAAGAAAAAAGGTGACATCAGCTTCAGCAGAAATCTTGGTAGTGCCACATACACTGGATTTGATAATTAGCTCTACCTGTCTACATGAACCTTCCCCTGAGCTCTACAAGCTATGAACATTTAAGATTTATTTCACCAATACGAATGCTGGATTGGAGGAGAAAATACAGAACAGTCTCAAGGCACAATATTTTCATTAGTAATTAGTCACTCTCTGCAGCTAGATAATACACCTGCTCCTCCTCCTGATGGTCAAGAGACATAGAAGTGTAAAATAATGGGATAAAGAAGAAATAAGAATATGAATTAAGAGTTTATTGAGCTGCTTATCATGTGTTCGTGAACAGCAAGAAACAAAGTCAGGTGTTTCACTTGGCGTTTCTTTAAAGGGTTTGGGGACTGCTAGGTTTTGTAAGTGGCCATAAAAATGTTTTTATGGGGAGCATCTAGAAGACTTCTTACATCCTTGCAGCACAGTGAAGTTGTTATTATGGACAGTCTTATGTAGAGTCTTATAAGATCACGTTAGTAAGAAGAACTTGATGTGGTCAGATAGCAGTAGACGTGGCTTTGCAACCAGGAAGGGAAAAAAGTCTCCTAACTTCACTTCCAGTGAAGAATGGGGAGCAGCAGATGTCTCTTTAGTGAATTGCTACAATTACTTAAAACAAAAAAGAAAAAGTCTGAATTACATGCTTGGGAAATGCTTAAAGAGAAAGCACCACAGATTTATACAGCATTCTACCTATGACAAATAAAAGCACTTCTACAATACATCTATAAATATGATCACACTGTTGACTCAGGAGACTTCGAGGCAAAAGCACTTTCTTTCATTAAGCACATTGTGTGCCCCACTTATGCTTTCCCATCAAAGAATCACCCTGTGATTCAATGAACTTATATTTCTTAGAACTGAAAGCTACAGAACAATACAACTGGCTCAAACTCTCCTAAAATCTCAACAGGTATCTTGATATTTCTTAAGTTTCAGGGATGACACAGGAATTTTAACTCTGCATCAAATTAGCAAGTAATGCAATTTACACCTTTCTTGGTGTGACTGTTGGCCCAGGCTTGCAAGTTTACACTCAGAATGTTGTTTTCACAATAAATAGTTTTTTAAAAATTTAAATTGTGTACAAAACTGTGTTCAAAACCACCACTGATAACAAAACCCAGATGTAATTGGTCTTCCTGGACCATTAAAATTCTACTTAACAAAACATGCAAAGCTATACGGTTTCTGCTTTCTCTCTTGGAACGACTTTTTATAAAGTCAGCTTTCAAAAAACATTGCAATGTGTTGAAAAGCAAACTAAGATAAAACCCAGTTATGTTCTGTAGAGTTTCTGAAAGTATTTCAGGTCCTTCCCATATTACCAATCTTTGAAAGGTCAACAGCATTTTTAATAAAATTGCATACATATATTTTGTGGGACAAAAATAACCATCTATGAATGAAAAATTAGTAGCAGGTTCCCCAAAAGCATCCATCTGAAGCGAATCAGTAATTACAATACGCATATGCACACACTGTTTTACATGCAATAGACAGAGCCCTAGCACAGTGGAAACAAGCAACAGAATTAGAAGCCTCAGAGAGGATTTTATTTCAGCCCAGAAACAACGCAAAGTTCACAAGCATAAGGAAAGAGCTGCGCCTCCTAATCCGCAACACCAAGCTCAAACTTCAATTCCCCTCACATACTCTCCCTTCCACTCCTACATAAACATAATCCCCCTTACTTTATCCTTTTACACTCTGAAGTCCTGCGGACTTGCTACATGAGCAGGGCCCACGCGTGGGTCGCCGCGCACCGCTAACACACACACACACACACACCCCCCCCGCCCGCGTAACGCGGCACCGAACTCTCCACACAGAGTACGGTGCCTAAATAGCCTGTCGGGGTTTTTTCCCCTCAAAACCTTTCGTACTTTATGCATTTAAACACGCTCACTCCCTCAAAAGAACACAGAAAGCAACATACAATAAAGTAAGTAAGTAAATAAATAAATAACAGCAATGTTTTAGGAGCTGTTTAAGTAACCCCCTCACCGCTACCAGCAGCGCGGAGCGTTAAGCCAGTGGTCACCAAACTCCCCCACCCCTGCCAGCACACGCCCTCCCACCAGCGGAGCGAGTGGCACTCGCCCCCGCCGTCCCGGGTCGGGAAGAACCGAGCCCCGCCGCTCCGCCCGCCCGGTACTTGCCCGCCCGCCGCGGCTGCCGCCTCCCGCAGTGCCGCGCCACCCACCGGGGCCCGCCGCCACCTGCCGCCGGCGGGGCGGGGCGAGCGGATGGGCAGCGCCAGCGGCCAATGGCAGGGCGGCCACTGGAAGGGGCGGGCAGAGACGGGGGCCGGTCTCTGCGGTCTCACAGCGGGCGGAGGCGGCGGCTGCAGCGTGTCTGAGGGCTGGTGGGCCCCCGAGGAGGGCCGCTATCGCTGGCCCGGTGGGTGGACAGCGTTCTGCCACGGATTTCTCGGCTAGCATTCAAGTTTCCTTCTCGCCACCCCTCAGACCTTGGCCGCTCCACCCTCATTTTAAACCATTCTCAAGCCTTGTGCACCTTCCACCCCCACTGTGCGCCGCGGTCCCTGCTCCACCGAGGCGCCCGTGGTGGCCGGGCTCCGGCTGGCCTTGCCGGCAACCCCTCCGCGCCCGTCCCGGGAAACGGCCGCGGCTTGGCAGGTTGCGCTCGGTCTGTGCGGTGCACCTCGGTGAAAAGCCTCTGGCTGGGGCAGCGCGGGCCTCCTGGGAGGCCATTCGGAACCGACCCCAGAGCCGCCGTGCCCGCACTCTCCTCTGGTGACGAGGCAGGGAAGCGTCAGCGGCGCCACCGGGGAGCGCAGTCGCCGTTCGACAACGGAGCAGTTTTGGCTCCTGCCGGGCGCCGTCGCGCCGTTCCCGCCCCGGCGGTGCGCGGCCTGTTTCAAAGCGGGAGCCATGGCCGAGCAGGGCCTGGAGATGGCCTCCATGATACCGGCGCTGCGGGAGCTGGCCAGGTAGGACGGACCCAGCCTCCGCCTCGGAGGGCGGCGACTGAGCTGCGCCGCGGGAAGCGCTCCCGGCCTAGCTGTGTGGCGGGGGGGGGTGTGGAAAATGAGAGTCCTTCCCCGCTGCTGTGTGAGCTTTCCTGGGGCCGGCCCTGCGCTCCCCCCTCATCCTGGCCGCCTTCTCCTCCCGCCACCAGCCTGAACTGTCTCCTCCCTCACGGGTGGTCCTGGTAGAATTTAATGGGGGAGTTCTCTTGGTCTGCATAGCACCCAGTGTCCCGGGGGCTTCCGTTGTGTTTCTAGTGTGGTTTCACTAAGACTAAAACGACATTGAAAATATTTGTCTATTAATGGCAACATCAAGACTGCAGCTTTGTTTTGTGGTAGGTAGGTAGCTGGCGTGGAGGTACAATTGTATGTAGAAGATTTAACTTTACAAAGAGCTACCTGCCCTCCTAGTCACCTCAGCAGTTGCTATTGATACCTTTTACTCAGAGTAATCAGATCAATAATTTTGGTTAATTCCAAAAGTGAAACGAGTTCTTTATTTTTTTTTTTTTCCCTGCACCAAAGGCGGCTTGTTGCTTGGTAGTAGCATGTGAATAAATCCCTTAGTCTGCCAGATGTGGACTTAATATATATCAAACGTAACTGTGGAACAAAATTAAGTGATCTTTAACAATTCATGAAACTTAGTACTTCTGAAGAATAAGAAGAAAGAGGAAGAGACGATGCACTGGTCACTAAAATGAGAAATCAATCTGTGTTTCTTTTTGCAGTCTTCTAGAAGAAAAAAAGTCAGTGATTAACATTGTGTTGTTGACTGTTGTAGTTTAAACCTAGTTGACAACCAAATGCCACACAGCCGCTGTCTCAGTCTCCCATTTCCCCAGGGAATGGGGGAGACAGTTGGAGGGGTAAGAAGACTTGTGGGTTGGGATAAAAACAATTTAATAATTGAAATAAAATTAAAATAATAATAATGATTATAGTAATAGTAGAAAATACAAATGGGTAATGCACAATGTGATTGCTCACCATCTGCTGACCAATGCCCAGCCCATTCCCAGCTAGTGATCACAAAGGAGAGCAAATCCTGAAACCACCATCCCAAAAACCCGAGTGGAGCTTCTTGATCAGCCCTTACTATATACTGAGCATGATGTTCTATGATACAGAATATTCCATTGGCCAATTGGAGTCCATTGTTTTGTCAGTGCTTCCCCCCCCCCCCCCCCCCCCCCCCCAGCTGCTTGTTTGCCTGTGCACTAGCAGGACAGGAGAAGTTGAAAGGTCCTTGGTTTGCTAGCAACAACTAAAACCATAAGTAGATCATCAACATTCTTCTTGTATCAAATCCTGTACTGAATGTAAACCACAGCACTGTTCTAGCTACTAAGAAGGAAGGAAGAAACCAAACTATTAGCGCTATCCCAGCTGATACAGACATTGAGATGGACATCAAATAATTATTTTGTATTTTAAAATGGATGTCAACATAATGTTTTACTTTTAATTTTAGTGCTAGTCCAGAAGAATACAATACAGTTGTACAGAAACCAAGACAAATACTCTGCCAGTTTATTGACAGAATTCTTACAGATGTAGATGTTGGTAAGTATTACATCCTTATATTCTAAAATTATTTTCTGCTTTATACCTTAAGTAATTCCTGCTAAAAAAAAAGTATTACAACTCATTTCAACAAAGATTTAGTAGTTGAAGGCAGTACCATTTCTGCTGTATTATTTAATAACTCCATGATGAAGTATTTGCTATTATGTTGTGAAGTAAGTTAAAAAGGGAGGGGGAGAGGGGGGAATGCAGTGCAGGGTTGTATGAATATAAATGCTTACAACACGGATAATCAGGAGTATCATGTAACGTGATTTTTCATTGAGTAATATAGCTTGCAAGTCTTAGTACTCAGAGTCTTTCAGAATTTAAATACTTGGATGTAAACAACTTTAATTTTAGAATTTTAACAAAGCCCTATTTTAGTATACCTTAAGGTTCCAATTATTACAGTACTTCAACAACACTTTGGTAATTATGAAATACATGTACTACAAAATTACCATTTGTAGCTATCTGTACATTTGCATCAAGGAAAATCACAGTAAGGGTAACTTACTGTTTCCGAGGTATATTTTCATGTAGCTGTCTTGGTAAGACTGATATTTTGTCTAGTGAATTGATCAACTCAAGTATCATACCTGTTACTCTGTAGATGATGTGTATGTTAATTCTCTTACAGTCCTAAGAGGGAAGGGTATAAAAATAAAAGCAAAAAGCTGATCTGCTTTAGATACTGCTTTTGAATACTTAAGTGTTGTATTTTATCATTACCATGTAACTTCTCTGGTCAATTGCTATCTGAATCTGAGATAGTTTCCTTCTTGTGCTAACTAAACGTGTGGTATTTGGATAAATCTGATGTGATTGATACCTGTTTCAATGGATCTATACAGCAGCATTAGGTATGTTTAGTATTTTGCTAAACTTTCTGGTTCAGTAAGATACCATAAAAATTTCTATTTCTTGGAGATTTAAACAATTCTTAGAGTTTTTTTTCTACCAAGATCACAAACCTAGCAAAAATTGTGTGATTAAAAATTTAAATGGTAACTATTTGCTGTTCTTTACTCATCATACAGTTGGATATAATACTAAGTAAATCTTAATGCATGTAGTGTTAGTGAATAATTTTTAAGAGGAGTAATTTATATTTTTCTTCATACAGTTTGGTGTCACATAGAGGGTTTACGTTATGCACAGAATCATCTTCATGGATTAATAAAACACACTCCCAATTGATAATTATACAGGTCTAATACCATGTCACAGTATTTTATATAAAAAAAAATATTCTTTCTCATTAAGTGTTAACAAAATTTGTGATTGCAATGCTAACTCAGAAATGTGTCTTTTTTTTATTTTTTAAGTTGCTTTGGAACTGATTAAGAAATCGGATTCACAACCAAGTTCTGTGATGTTGCTTGATTTTATTCAACATATCATGAAATCTTCCCCACTTATGTTTGTAAATTTAGATGGAAATCAGGAGGAAACCAAACGCAGTTGCATTGGTGAGTTGTTTGAAAATGTTTATGCTGAAGCCTGATATTTTCAGAATTTAAATTTTCTGACATTGAGATCATACAAAAGAATAAAAATGGGGAAAAGGCAGATTTGTAAGGTTGGCATTACATATTTATAAGTAAGTGAATATTATGATAGACTTGTAATATTTTGAATTTATGTGAACTTTTGATAATGGAAATTTATCAGGACAGTTTGACCTTATTCTTTACCATTGCTCAGTGATATTACCTGGTTCATGTTGATGAGGTACCCTATACGCCTATTCATTGCCTGAAGGTTCTTTTGACAGAGGAAAATGTCTGACTTACCCACCACCCTGCCGCCCCCCACATGCACACAGACCCCCATTTTTCTCTTTTTCAATAAGATCAGCTGGAAAAAATGTCTCAGTGAAGGCTCTCTATTCAGTAAGCCTACATGCATTTATCTCAAGGAATTTTCTTTTCTTTACTGATGAGCAAACTGCTTTCAAGGAGGTGCTCAAAATAGATGGTTTGGGTTTTTATCTTAATAATTTTATATTCGCTGTTTCTTTTTTATTGTCCTAGAATTTAGTAACTGGATCATAACAAGGCTTCTCCGAATTGCTGCAACTCCAAACTGCAACACGTTGCACAAGAATATTTGTGATGTCATTTGCTCTTTACTTTTTCTGTTTAAAATGAAGAGTTGTTCCATTTTTGAAGTACTAACAAAAGACTTGCTGCAGCTTTTCCAAGACTTAATCTTTCTACGTGAAAGAGATGCACAGAAGCATCTCTGTGGAGATGAACTGTTCTGGCCAGTGACTGTAAAGAGGTTTTCAAGCAATACTAGTGACACTGTGGGATATTTAAGATTAGCACCGTTACAGCTGATGAGTATGCCCAATGTAGAATGTTTGGAAGTTATATTAATGTCTATTCTGACAGATATTGTTGCAGATGTATTTTATGTAAGACAAGATATTATTCTCTGGGGGATAGGCTGTTCCCTGTTGGAGTATGGCAGTCCAAAAGTTAAAGCTTTGGCAGTGAAGTTTTTAGTAAAACTAATTCATTTAGGAGGACCTCCAGGTCAGCTGGCCAGTGTTTTCTTCACAGTCTTTTTTGGAATTCTACAGTCAGCACTTGAAATGGATACTGAAGAGTCAGAACTCTTTGGAGAACCACTCTTACTGTTGGTGAGGACATTGTTGCCTTTTGAAGCAGATTCGTACAAAAATATTGAACCTGTCTACTTAAATATGCTGCTAGAGAAGCTCTGCGCACTGTTTGAAGGTGATGTGTTTAGGTGTCTTCAGTCTGAAAAGCTGAAAGCTGCTTTATGCCATATACTGCAATATTTTCTGGAGTTTGTTCCAACTGGCTATGAATCTGCCTTACAAGTAAGAAAAGTCCATATCAGTAGCATATGTGGAATTTTTGTCAATGTGCTTGGAACTCAGGAAGAACAAGAGGTAGGTTCATTTTAAAAACTGTGTTTATTGTGTGAATCATCATGTACAAAAACCTACTTCTGGGCAAAGAGGAAAATCTAGGAAATGCTATTTTTAGTTGTGTAATTAGATTGATACTCTTTGTTTCTCAATTGTTTTATGTATTTCTGCAGGTCAGAGTTTTTTAGTTACACATGGCTGGCCCCTGTGTTTTTCAGATGTGTTAATCTATTGAGAACCTATGCAGGCACAAGGGTCTGTCTGTAATCATAGTATAAAATGGGGGTGAGGGACAGAGTACTCTCATATAAGGGCAGCTTCACAACTAATTTCCCTTCATCTGAGCTGGTCTTACTTTCTAACTGTATGCTTTTAGTCATATTTGTTGGGGACAAATTAAAATAGAATCATAGAATAGTTTGGGTTGGAAGAGACCTTTAAAGGTCATCTAGTCCACTCCTCCTGCAGTGAGCTGCGACATCTTCAGCTAGATGAGGTTTCTCACAGCCACATCCAAATTGACCTTGAATGTTTGCAGGGATGGGGCATCCACCATCTCTCTGGAGAACCTGTTCCAGTGTGTGTCACCAACCTCATCTAAATCTGCCTTCTTTTATTTTAAAACCATAATGAGGTGTTGCTAATGCTAAGTGTTCCCACTGCTCAACACACCCACATGCTTATTGTATCTATTGTCTCTTAAATTTACTGTGTCTCTCTTGATGGCGTTGGGAGAGCAAGGTATTATGGCAAGAACTGGGAAACAGATGTACAAGCTAAATTTTCTCTGTTAGGAACATGGGAAACTTCACTGCTTATGAGAGTTTTCATCTTGTAACTAAAATTTTTGAAATATTTTAAGAACTTGTTACTGTAATATTTTGAAACGTTATTTTTTAAGTCAGAAACAATAATATCATGTCTTTGAGAAGTAAGGCATAGCATATATCATGGTATCTCTGTTGTTTGTCCATCCCAGTATCTGGTGAGTCCACTTTATACAACATTAAAAACACAAACAGAAGAAATCTTTCAGGAGCTTCATCAGAACCAGCTAGATAATTCTGATACTGATGGGTGGAGCAGCAGCAGTGATGAAGTTCCAGAGAAAAGACGACGACTAAACCTACCAACAAAGCATCCAAAGAAATCACCTACACCAGTAATGTACGACAAGTACTCAATAACTACTTCTATAGTAATTTGGCTAGTAAAAAATAACAAATGACAACTTTTTTGAGGTGGTTTCTTCATAACAGTCACATGGAAAGGTCTAAATGATGTTTTGAAGGATCAGAATCCTTCCTGAATCCAGATTGAAGGATCAGATTATTTTTAATCCAAACTTTAGTTAAAGACACTGTATTTTTAGTATGTTCAATGCAAATGATTTTAAATTTTACATACTGAAAACAGCGAAGCTGAGAGAACGTGTACGGAATGACAGAATCATGTATGTGGCTAGGCTGTTGCACTGGACATGTGTAAAGCAGGTCTAGTTAAGTCGAGTTGTTCTCAGATGAACAAAGCCAGTTCTTTCAGCCTCTGCTTGTGCTTGTGCTTCAGCTCTGTGATTATCTTGGACTTGTTCCAGCATGTTGGTCTTTCTTGTATTTGAGCACTCAGGGCTGGCTCCAGCATGCTGTACTCCATTTGTGGGCTTATAATCAGCCTTCACTCTTGATAATACAGCCGAGTATGTAGTTGACCTTCTTTGCAACAAGGTCACACTGCTCTTATATTCAAGTTTTCTACAAGTCCATCAGGTCATTTTCTCCAGAGCTACTTGCTAACCAGTCAGCCCTCAGCCTGTTCTGTTGCACAGGGTTTTTTTGTGACAGTTGCGGGACTTTTCATATGTCGCTATTGACCTTCATGACATTCTTATCAGCCTAGTTTTCCAGCCAGTTGAGGTCCTCTGAGTAAGCGGCTCTCCTTTTATCCACAGACCTACCTGTCTCATTGTATAAAGGAGTCAGGTTAGTCTTGCATGATTTACCCTTGGTGCTGGCTGTTCCCCAACACTTTCTTGTCCTTTATGTGGCTGGAAATGAGTTCAAAGAACACTTTTTTTTTCCATAACCTTGTCGGGAACCAAGGTTAGGCTTGCTGGCCTGTAGTTCCTTGGATCCTCTTTTTTTTCCTTTCTTGAAGATAGGTGTAACGTTTGCCTTGTTATAATCATCAGCAACCACCCTGGTCACCATGACCTTACAAGGATTGCAGTGTTATACCTTTATAGCCTTTCAGATAAGTCTGATTTTCATTATACTTAATTTCAGAGTTAGTATCTTGTTCTCCCAAAGGGCATGTTTAAGCTAAAGCTTCATTTCATATTTTCCTAATCCTGTATCCAAAGCGGATTAGCTCTGGTTTTGCTATGATGATGTATTTATTTCTGGAAAAAAAAACCAAAAAAACAAAAAAACAAAAAACATGTTAGAAAGTAATTCATATGGTCAAATTACAGACTTAGTCCTGTAAACATGAAATTGAAAAGCACTCTCTGGAATGCCATCACAAAGAAAGCTGCATCCTTAATATTTATCCTTGAGAAAGAAATTGTGACGGCGGACATTCTTCAGACTGTAGAAGGGATTGCTGTAATTCTGCGACTAGCTGCTTTGTGCATAGTTCATTGTTCTCCCCCGCAAAATTCTACCAGGTAAGGTACCAAGGTGAAACTGTGAGATCAGTAGTTTCTTGTAACTGTTATTATGATTTGTGTAGATTACTTTAATGCTTGTCCATGTATTAGGACAAGTATTGGGTAAGTCCTCTGTGTTTTGAAGTAGGACGTTTTTATAGTAACTTTGCTTACAATCAATACAATATTAAATGACTATAAAATTATAGTCTGTTGTGTTGATCATATGATTTCTGTTTTAACAGTATAGATCATAAAGTACCTCATCCGTGTAGTTCTGATCCATGTAAGAATACTCCAAGCTCCTCAGATTCAGTGGTGAATATGCAGTTCACATGGATTTCCTCTGATTTTATCACAAGAGTAGTGAAAGTCTGCAGAAATCTGTTAGAGGCTGCTACGCAGATTGTTAACCTAGAACAACTAATTGACAGAATAGTGAAAATCTTTGATGCTTTGCTGTATGCACAAGGTGAGAAATCCTTTAAACTGTCATGTTTTTTACTGGATTTGTAAATCAGGAATGCATCTGACTGAATTGCTCTGTTGTGGTAGAGGTACTGAAATTATAGATCTTGTTAGAACTCTACTTCTTGTACAAAAAAGGTGAAAGAGTGGTGTGCTCTGTTCAGAGCGCTACATTTGCATTCCTTCTTTAACATGATTTACTAGTGTTTGTACTTCTATTGATTTTTATCTGAACAAGAGACTGTATTGGGATAGTGAATAGGTGTAGGAAAGAAACTAATTTTTAGCAGTTTTCTTTTTCAAAAACATAGAGTCAGCTTGCCTTACTATTTGTTTCATTCAGATTTCAAAGCTTCTGACCAGCTTCAGCAAATGTGGCATGCAGGAAGTGTACCAAAAATATTAAGTACTTGTGTGATTTTTTTTAAAAGTAGCTGGTAAGATGGAGGACAGACTCTACGACTGAAGTGTTTTATGAGTTCAGCTTCCTAGCCATCCCAAAGTCCACCTGAGAGGCTTCATACAAATCCAGAAATACCAAAGTTGTATTCATTCTGCTGCTCATGTATTACATGTTGTCAACTGTTTGATGAATTTTTTAGATTATCTTGGTATAGCACTAGATAATTTATTATTATATGTCTAAAATGTAAAATAGCAACATGTGGGAATAGTGATACTAATTTTTGTTGATAGAAAAAATAACACTTTGTAACAAATTAAGAACATAAAGTGTGCATCTATTTTACAGCTCTATATAGTTCACAAAAGTATGAAATTTTTTGTTGTTTTGTTTTGCTTCTTCTCCTCCCTAGTGAAAATTTCACTGAGTGATCAAATTCTTGATAGCTTATGTGCATTGCTGTCTCTGCCCTGGATTTACAGCCATCCTGATGATTCTTTTTTTAAGCCATCTGCTTTTGGGTTTGATCCTCTAGTTTTGAGTCAAAAAACTGCACAGAGTTTCTGTAAGTATGTTAAAGTATATAAAACTTGATATCCCTCTAGAATTATTGTTCTAAAGTAAAATTATTTTCTTTGCCCTCTTATGATGATTGATGATGTTAAAAGTTTAAATCAAGTAATGATCTGCCGCATTTTGTTTTTTCTCTTTAGCACCCCAAACTCAGTCACGCTGTGTGTTCCTTCTGTCTCTCTTCCCAAGAAACATTTGTCTGGATTGGAGAAAATGCATTTATCATTGGGCACTACAAAGTCCCCATGAATCAATTCGGGCTGCTTGTGTTAAAGGATTCTCTCTTCTGCTTCATCCACCAAGTGTGCAGTCCTGCAATATGATTCCCAAAGCTCTTCTGTATGTATTAATGCTGCTTTTCTGTTTTCATGCAAGAAAAACTGACAGATAAGAAACATAGTATAGGCACAAAAATAAATATTTATTTCTATTTCATCCAAAATTTGTTAGATCTCAATTTCAGAAGTCATAAGATATCAACAGGTTAGGTGTAAGTGATGATGTCTGCATGATAGTGTACACTTACCATGTTAGTATACAAGTTACTTCCCTAGTTGAAACCCCATTTCTAATTAACAAATTTAAACGGAGGAGGGGAAAGGAGATACCTTCGTCAGTTAAATATATGTGATATTTGTCTATATGCCTCTTAGAATGTTTTCATTTTCTCTGCCTTTTGTATATATGTCTTGGTGTCTTCTTTCCTATTGTATATCGTCTTCAGTTTCTTTATAACATGCCAGACTCAACCATGCCCAGTGCTACTTCAACACTTTTCAGATTACCCTCAAGTTCTATTAAATGAAAAAGAGAATTGGTGAGACAGATCCTTAAATTGTCCTAATAGTACTTTCAGTGTAGTTAGAGAATTCAGACAGTGTAGAAATACAAATTTTTAGGTAAATAATCTATTAAAATGGTTTCATTTTTGTTTCTATTTCAGAAATCAAATCAAAGATGAGTCTGAGCTAGTCAAGGAGGCTTGTGCTGCTATAGTTGGGAAATTATCTTGCTGTCTTTCTGGTACATTCAGCATACAACCTTCCTTAGCAGACTCTGCTATTAAGCGTGTTACTTACGATATATTATGTAGCAGCCTTACTGTGACTTCTGCTCACGGAAAAACTTGTTCTGTGCAAGCCTGTCTTTTCAAGCCATTTCTTGTTCTACTCGAGAACAAAGTATCCAGTTCAGTAAAGCTAGGTAAGTGACTTTGCTTTTATTAACATTTTCTACTTCTGTATGAGGTACTAAGTCACTATTTCTGTGCCTTTCTCTATTTGTTTTTTTCTATTTTTTTTTTTTTAATAGCTATAATGAGGCTTGAAATGCGTGTTTCAGTTGATACTATTGCTAATGTTTGATGCTGTCATTGACACTCTTTTTAAACTACCATGGCTTAATTTTGGTCTATGGCTATATCTAGAAATGCAATACTTGATAAAATCTGAATTTTAATTAGCTTGTCTGATTTGACAATATTTACTCTTTTGATAAAAAAATGTAGTGTGCTTTATGGCTTACTTGGATTGTTGTTCTGTGTACTTCAATAGATTATTTTTTTAAACAAGCATTAATAATATATTTTTCTTTCCTCCTCCAACCCATGCCACCCAGCATTTATAGAAAATATACCTCATCTTTGCAAACATCTGGATTTTAACACTGATGAGTCCAGTGTGAAGATTCTTGTTGGGTCTTTATTAAATCTAATGGAAGATCCAGACAAAGATGTGAGAGTGGCTTTCAGTGACTGCATAAAGAACATTCTAGAAACCTTAGACTCTGAAGAAGGATTCATAAAAGAGGTGAATTAATATTTAATTTTGGTTGTTTTTTGTAACTTACTATGGTTTTTGTTCTATTAATGTTGCTCAAAAATTATTTTTTTGTTTTGTTCTCATGTGTTCCAGCTGTTTGTTTCAAGAATGAAAGAAGCCTATACAAATGCCAAAATATCAAGAAATAATGACCTTAAAGATACCTTGATCCTTACAACAGGAGATATTGGAAGGTACTTTTGATAGTATCTTGAAAATCACAAAGTAGTGTCAGTTTGTGATGCTAAGTAACTCTTTTGTTCAATTGTAAATGTAAGATTAAATTATTTATTTCAAGATCAGCCTTTGTTCAGAGTCTTTTGCAACTGTACTAAGCTGTTGATTCATACAGAATATTTCTCATTTTCTTCTGCCCTATCATAGGAAATACAGATAAGCTATGCAAATACAATGACGAGTCATTTTGCATTATAATAACTGTATATTCTTAAGTAATTTTATTAATACAACGATTCTTTTTTCCTTTTTAATTGTTTTTCTTCTGCTTACTTTGTAAGGGCATCAAAAGGAGAATTGGTACCATTTGCCCTCTTACATTTATTACACTGTTTGTTGTCCAAGTCAGCCTCTGTGGCTGGAGCAGCATACACAGAAATTCGATCTCTAGCAGCAGCAAAGTCTGTAAAACTCCAAGCTTTCTTCAGTCAGTACAAGAAACCTATCTGTCAGGTAAAAAGAAAATAACTGGTGGTTTGGAAAGGCATATGTTTAGGTTCTTTTTGTGTATTTTGAAAACAGTATAAAACATAAGAATTACAGTATTTTACAAGGTGAAATCTTGTAGGACAAGAAAGAAATTATTTAAAAAACAAAAATAAAACCTCCACAAACATTCAGGATGGAATGAGAAACCTTTGGCTTTGTCATGATCTTTTTCCCTCAACAGTATTGCTTTTTTATTCCCTACGTGCTGTCATCCTGAAATAGAGGAACTATATCGTTTCTTGCATTGTGTGGTACCGTTGATACAAGAAGCTATGTTTCAAAATTGGAATTGAAGTCAGTGTTTTACATGCATAATACTAATGTGGTTGATTTGTTCTTTTGTTGTATCCATTACCTAAAGACAGAAGTTGTGTTTAAAAGAAAATTATCAAAACCAGACTTTTCTAATTTTGAATATTTTTTTAATAATGCAGTGTCTGAATCTCGGGGTTGAAAAATTAAATGCAGTTATTAAGTAGATGATAACCCAGTTCTGTAGCAAAGTATCGTAGATCTATGAGCAGTAAATGAGAAAGAAAAACAGATTCATAGAAAGAGGAGTGCAACTCCTTTGTTTTTAGGGAGCGAAGAAAGGGAAAATAATACTAAATAGGCATTTCTTCATCGTTAGTTTCTAGTGGAATCCCTGCACTCCAGCCAAATGGCAGTATTGAGTGCTCCATGCCAGGGTAATGAACTACGGAAACAAACAGCTGCTCACCAGAGAGAAATGGCTCTGGACATGTTATCAGAGATCGCCAATGTATTTGATTTTCCAGATCTAAATCGCTTTCTCTCAGTAAGTTGATCAGTCCGTTTTACTTTCGATTGGTTGGTTGAGATTTTGTGTGTGTGTATGTGTGTACGTGCGCTTGTGGATTTCTATTTTAGTCCACAATTTTTCTGTGAATGTCACAGATTTTAATTATTTTTATTCTCTAGTTGCTTTTGTTTGTTATCATATAGAATACTTTGGGATTGCGGCAAATGGAAGCTCAAATACAGGGGAACAGTTTTATCAAGGAGTTACAGTGATGGTTACAGAACTAATTCAAGTATAACAGATAATGAACTAAGGTCTAGAGTAATCATTGAGTATATCTGTATTAATGATTTAGTGCACGTGGAAGGTTTCTTTGTAAGGCATGATTTTTGCATGGTGTCTGCTGTCTTGTTTCAACTGAAGAACGCTATTGTTCTGTGGATAAACCTTTTGATCTGGTTGGATATCTGTCCTAAAGCCTAGGTAGCTTCATACTCATATTTTACTTGTTGGTAGATGGGAAATGCACAACCATGATGTAAGTAGTGTTCTAGATGGCTGGTAGGTTGGGTGGTTGTTGCTGTGTGAGGATATGGTATTTTTCCTGGGCTTTTTGGTGATTTTTTTTAAGATTTCCTTTTCTGAAGAATCTGGATGGACACAAAAAATAATAGCTCACTTTTTGTTTGCGTGTTTCTCAGTATTGATTAGATGAAGCACCTCCTGAAGTAATTATTTTAATTTTATCTGCATTTTTATTAGATAATTCTGTCTTACCAAAGTTCTTTATTCATATCTGTGGTCATACATATGACCAGAGATGAGTGGTGTTGTACTGACACAAATGGAACAAAGCTGAACCCTGCATTTTTGGAGGAGGTGTTGTTTGTTTGTTTGTTTTTCTCCATTATGTGTTGTTCTTAATTTACCAGCGGACCCTACAAGTTTTGCTTCCTGACCTTGCAGCCAAGGCTAGTCCTGCAGCCTCTACACTTATTCGAACCATAGCAAAACAGTTGAATGTAAGCCGAAGAGAGATTTTAATCAATAACTTCAAATACATCTTCTCTCACTTGGTCTGTTCCTGCTCCAAGGATGAGCTTGAGCGGGCACTTCATTACCTCAAGGTAAATTGACATTCGCTCTATTATACATGTGGATTAGGAGCAACAGTTGATGAATAGTGAGCTTTCTGCTTTATTTAAGTTAGGGTATTGTAAAACACAGGTGGGGAATCTGTATATGCAGAAATTTTGTTGTTCATGTTACAATTTGTTCCGTTGGCAGTGAGGAACTATTGTAAGATATTTGATTTCTATGGTAAATCAACCAGAGTCCAATGCCTCCTGTCTCTCAGCATGCTAGTTCCATTGTGATGAAATGAAGACTTGGCTTCTGCTTGCTATTTGATTATAGAATGAGACCGAGATAGAACTGGGCAGCTTGCTGAGACAGGACTACCAGGGACTGCACAATGAATTATTGCTGCGTATGGGAGAACACTATCAACAAGTCTTCAATGGTTTGTCAATATTGGCTTCATTCGCATCTCATGATGATCCCTATCAGGGACCTAGAGAAATAACATCACCTGAGAAAATGGTAAGGACGTCAAAACATTCATATTCAGTTTTGTTGAATAATTTTTTTTCTTCAGTCTGAGAGTGAGGACAATTTCACATTCTCTGAACCATTCCTTATTTGAGGCAAGTAGAGGAAAGGCTAGCATTTCATATGAAGTGTTTCTATAACATGGAGATACATACCAAGTATGCATGAAAAAAAAAAAAAAACCCAAAAAACAAGCAAGCAAATGACACCCCCTCACACACACACCCCCACACAAACCCCTAAATCGTACCAAAACAAAAAAAACACAGTCTAATGGGGTTGTCTTTCATTAGCACTGATATTTCTTGAGGAGTAGTGCATGTATCTGATATTCTTCTAATTTTTCTTTTAGAGTTAGCATTTCATACTTGCTTTTTAATTTCTTAAGCTTAGGAATGTGTTAATAGTGAGATTATTTGTAGGGGTCTTGTTGTGTCTTTTCTTTTCCCTCCACAGGCTGATTATCTGCAACCTAAATTGCTTGGCATCCTGGCTTTTTTTAACATGCAGTTACTGAGTTCCAGTGTTGGCATTGAGGATAAAAAAATGGTGCGTAAACTTAGTTTTGAATATTAAAACAAGGATAAGCAAGAGCTGTTTCAGTATTCCAGACTGACTCGTGATCATGCAACTGTCATTGAAGTCTCAAAGATACTAAGGTTCCGACATGATTGTTGAAAACTGGTGGTCTCATTGTGGGTAGGACTTATGTGTAAGCTCAAAATTTTTTGTTCTGTAATTATAGAGGAGGAATCCAAATGTGTGTTTTATATGTGTGAAAGTGGAGAGTGAGGGAGTATGGGTGACAACTGGAGTTACTGCAGAGAACAGGGTTGTAAGGGCACCAAAGGACAAAGCTAAAGAAAATAAGATACAAATCCAAGAGAAACTGGGCTTTATTGGTTTTGCTTCTCACAGAACAGCTCCTTTCAGATATACCGTAGAGAGCATTTAAAGGAATTAGAGCTCGTAACTTGAGACAAAGTCTGAAAATTATGCCCTGCGGAGGCAGTACTTCTAACCACAAGACAGGCCTTTTAGCCACTTCACAGAGGTAGTGGAGATGATTTCTGTAAGGAATTTTTCAGTGCTAGAATGTATGTAATGTTTACATTGATGTACTGCATTTTCTCTGGTGTTCTTTCAAACTTCTTGCTTCTCAGATATTCTCGAGATGCTCTCATTTTCATAGCCCCATGTCTTCATGCTTTCTGAATTTCTTCATTTGTATAGCATTTCTTCTGTTGCATCTGCTGTTGTTTCTACCTTTTCTTGTTCTGTTTTTTGTTCTTGGTGACTCTCCCCTTCCATGACCTTTCCTCAAGCTCAGATTTCTTCCTGTGTTACTGATCTGTCATACTGGACGTTGTACTACCTTGTTTGGTACAGTGTTACTGTGACTGAAGTATCTCCTGCTTTTTCTGAACCTCATTATTTCTCTTCTGTCTTTTGTCAGTCACTTCTAAAACTTTGGATATATAGTCAACCATTTCTTATAGCAGACTCTTAGAACCATTAACTCCTTTGGTGTCCACAGTTCTTCCCTCATCAATCTGTCAACAGTGTAAATAATGACATTTTTGTTACAATACTGTCATTAGAGATTCCCTTTCATTCTCTTTTCCTCTAACCCTCAAATCCTTTATTGAAACATGAAACTGAATTTAATGTCTTACAGAGTATGATTTCTTAAGCCAGAGTAGCCTGATTTTATTCGAAAATATGGCTTGTATATGTTTTACTGAGGATCTAATACACTAAAATGACTTTTCTCTATGTCTAGGCTTTAAACAGTCTTATGTCTTTAATGAAGCTTATGGGTCCCAAACACATCAGTTCGGTAAGAGTAAAGATGATGACTACACTGAGAACAGCTCTAAGATACAAGGATGACTTTCCAGAATTGTGTTGCAGGTGAATTGATAGTGTACCCCAAACAGCAACATACCTACTATTTCTGCCCTTGAATACACTGTTTTGTTTTTTTCTAGACAATAATATAAACCACAGAGCTGAAATAACTTAAAATGCTTCTCATGATTTGCCTAAAATGTCCTTATGCAGAGAAGAATCATTGATTACTATTGTTTTGTTGTCTTTTCTTGTTTAGAGCCTGGGATTGTTTTGTTCGAAGTCTGGACCATTCATACCTTGGTTCCTTGCTTAGTCATGTGATAGTAGCGTTATTACCCCTTATACATATCCAGCCAAAGGAAACTACAGCAGTATTTTTCTTTCTCATAGTTGAGAACAGGTACTGTACAAAATATTTTGAGTTATATGGATCAAACTCTGTAATAGGAATGAGGATAACCCTAAATTAAAGTTGTCCAGCACTGAAATGAGACAACTTGTTTTTCTGCAAAACAGTATGTTGTTCTATAGAATTCCCACTTTCCTAAATTGCAATGAGATTTTTGAAATTTGACAAGTGATAGACTCATCTGGAGAGGTATTTTTATATTTTCCTTATAAAAATATGTGATAAAACTGTGGCCAAGTTACACCCCATTCAAACACTTACCCTAGCCAGATTTTCTAATTCTCTGTTTTTTCTGCTGGTATGGAAAATTACTTTCCTCTACAGGTCACACAGGTGTAATAACTGATTGCTAACATTTGGTCTAAGCTAGGGAGAAGTGTAAGGAGTTGGAAACAAGGAGGAAATTAAGTCTTCATTTGTTTCCTTAAATAATTAGAGCTGTAATTATGAAGTACACAGAAATTAATGTTGAGTAAGATGTCATGCATCCTCTTCACAAGTACCACATCAACTGAAAATAAAATCAAACTCTGATAGAGTGAATAGGTAAAGTCATGACTACCTTTTTGAAGACAATGTTGAGTCTTTATTATTTTTCATTTTAGATTCTGTAGCTTAATATTATGACTTTTTTTTTTTTTTTTACGGTGATAGTTGATATCTTGATTACTTTTGTTCGGTTTTCATTTTTCTTGCACTGTACCATACCAACAGTATTCAAAACAATAGGTGACAGGAATAATAAGGATCTTGTAGAAGCCCATAGTAGCAAAATTGAAAGAGATTCCTTCGAGTTAGGAACACAGAATTCTTTTTTTGATTGTGTGGGGTTATTTCTTATGTGGAAAACTGGAACTGGATTCACACCAAGTGGGATTATTCTTACTCTTTGTCCAGTGTCCAAAATAAGGAGAGCCAATCCTGGTAGAGAGAAATGGCAACTTTGAAAGCTTTGAAAATAATTGTTTTTAAAAGAGAAAGTAATTTAAAGCATAGAGGAGAAATACCTGTGGTTTAGCTGAGTAACAAGAGAAACAAATTGTATAATATTTATACTTAATTAGATGAAAAAAGTAAATTTTTGTGTGTGTGTGCGCTTTTCAGGCTTTTGTTCTTCTAGTTATTACATTTCATTGCTTTCTTTTGATGGGTTTTTAAGTTTTTTCTGATCCAACTAATGTTTGCTATGTTCTTTGCAATATTTTCTTTGTAACTACTAGGGATGCAGTACGAGATTTTTTACATGAAATATATTTTCTGCCTGATCTTCCAGAACTCAAAGAAATTCAGGTTGTCCTTCAGGAATACAGAAAGGTACGATTTCTTTTACTTTTTGATTTATTTTTAGTGCATCAAATGACTTCGCGACAAGGGAGGAAAACATGTCAAGATCATTGTTAAGGGGAAATGGTATTTATTTGCCTCCACAATAAAACAGAACTTGTGTATCGCAAGAATGCTTTGAAGCAGGTTCTGATTCTTCTTTAGGAGTAAATAAAATATGCTCATGTTTAACATGCTCGTTTCTGTAGCATCTCCTGAACACAGGCAATTCATCTTTTTGAGACTGAAGAGACTTATAAGGTTAGAAGTCCGCAGTATTAGCTATGGCAATGATTATGTTACAAGAGAAGCTACTTGTAATTTGATCCCTCTTCCGTATTCTCTTTAAAGGTAACAAAGCTTGTCTACTGTTAGGAGTACTCTGTGGTTCATTTCTTTTGCTTGCCCTCAGAATGGTTAGGCTGCCCCCAGATGGGAAGTAGCAATTATTTAGTGGGAATTAGGTAACAAAAGTAAAAATTAGTTTTATTTTAGGTAATGAGGTGCCCAAAGCAAAGCATTTTCTTCTGATTTAATCATTGTTATTTACACTGTTACAGAAGTGTCAGTATAGCAACTTTTTGAGGAAAACACTTGAAAAAATAAACAGGAAGACTAGTATATGGATATAGGTGAGAATGTAGGCAGAAAGTTAGTTTTTAGTAGGTGTTCTCAGTTGTGTTCCTTGAGATGCTGCTTGACTGTGTTCCTGTTACACTTGAACTTCTTACGTCATTTCTTGTTCAGGAATCCTCCAAAAGCACTGACTTGCAGACAACACTTCAGCTGTCTATGAGAGCTATTCAGCATGAGAATGTGGATGTTCGTATTCATGCACTTACCAGCCTGAAAGAAACATTATATAGAAATCAGGTATAGAAAACTTCCTTCAACAGAATTGAAAATAAATCAAAGTAGCACCTGGATCAACAATTGGAAAATCCTTACTGTTACTGGGCGTTCGTATGAACAGTGGTATTTTCCTCAATTTATTAAGCTAGCTGGTTCTTAATATAGTGGGGAGTAGGGATTGTTTTTCATCGTGTCTCCTAGGAAGAAGACCTTAAAATTCTCCAAATCTGTGTGATGCTGATTCAGCAAGGCTAGTGGTACATTTCTTACCTTTTTTTCAACTCTGAGGAAAGATGTATCTAAGATGTCTGTTTCAGCAATCTGTTGTGTGGGCTTGTTCTCTGTTAGAACGTGTATGGCTTTTGCATCAGGAGGCTAATACATGGAAGCCAGCGATTTTTGTGTGCAAGTGTAATATCTGAAAGAATTAACATGTGTGTGACTACCTCACATCTTTTAGTGGTTTTTTTTTCTCTTCTTTCTTTGCCTTCCACCCTCAAAAATTTGAATCCATTGATAATATTCAAATAAATTTCATAAGTTTGTTTAAGTTGAGGATGCTGCTTTACAAATCTGTGTGGTTATTAGTCAAGGGCAGTGTATGTGGCCTATTTTAAAAAAAGAAGAAAATCTGTCACCTTAGTAGCTATAAGATTCTGGGACACTCTTCAATCAGAAATAAAAAAAATATCCTAGCTAAAACAACAAACAATCATTGCATACATTCCTGCTCAAGCATTAATTCTTGCACATCAGGTTGGGAAAATCCTGCCATGTCTTGCTTAGTTAGAAGTATAGCAAAACAACTGAGGGAAATCGAACTTAATTAGTTCTACAGCTTGTGGAACTATTGGCTCTCTTACGTTGGCTGTGGTTTCAGTTTTCATTAAACATAACAATGGCAAACATTTTCACATTATTAAAACAATTTTTTTTTTTTCCTGTGTTTGGACTAAATGTGGAACTGGGGAATAAAAGCTGGGCTGAAATGAAGGCGAAAGGTCATCTGATTAAAATGATAGGCATTGAATGAAAGATTTGAAACCCTGGGCTTTGTAGGACTGAGAGTGAAGAAATAGCCAACAAATGGGAAATCATAAGGATACATATGTCAGTGAAACCAGAAGGTATGACAACAGCTGCATGAAAGAAATTGAGAGGAAGTACTAGAATGCATGAAGAGAGAAAACAGGTGAAAAAGATAATGTAGAAAAGAAGAGAGGTTCTTGATCAGACAACATGAAGTTAGTAGAGAGGTGTATGATAATGAAATACGATATTGGCCATGACAGTATTATTAATTAAACTATCATTTATTTAGTCCTTCTTGGGGTAACAAGCAATTTAGGGCAATTGGGCTATAGTTAAAAAATAACGATATTTGAATCAGTAACCTGAAGTAATGGGTAAATGAAATACAAACTAAGAGTGAGTTACAGATGGAAAATCTCTAAGATGATTTACCATAAACATGGTTGTAGAATAATTCATCTTTATTTTTCAACTTCCTAGGAAAAGTTGATAAAGTACGTAACAGACAGTGAAACTGTGGAGCCAGTCATCTCCCAGTTGGTAACTGTACTTCTAATCGGCTGCCAAGATGCAAATTCTCAAGCCCGACTACTCTGTGGAGAATGTTTAGGTGAACTGGGAGCCATAGATCCTGGAAGGCTTGATTTTTCAACAAGTGAAACTCAAGGGAAGCATTTTACATTTGTGGTAAGAAGTGCTGCTGTAGTGTTTTGTTTAACATTAAGGGTTTTTTAAAAGTACTTGGGAGTATGGAACCTCTCATCTTTAGACCCTTTGAAAATCTATATTTGCTTTCTCATCTGAAATGATTTAGAGTCAGGCTTCAAAGTGATTATTCAGAGATTAAAGATACAGCTATTACTCCATTTTAATAAAACTGGCATTATGTTTGTGATTGAGGCTGGTGTGGAGGATCCAAATTTTGCCTATGGATTATTAATGGAACTGACCAGAGCATTCCTTGCTTATGCTGATAATGTCCGTGCTCAGGATTCTGCAGCATATGCGATTCAGGTAAGATACGTGGTTAGATCCTATTTTTACTTCACAGATTATTTCCTATCACACTGAACTTAAAATTATGCAATATAAATGTACATTGTGAAGTACATATTTACGTATATGAAACTTCATCCTATATATCTTTAAATTACAAGGTTATTCAGGGTAGTGATTTTTTATTTTTTGAACTCCTCAGTGCTCGCTTAGAATTCTGGGGACTTGTCAAGGTTGTTGTTTCCTTCTGTGTCATGATATTTTAGGAGACGTCTGATGTTTCAGAGGTAACTAACAATTCATACATAGGGATTCAAGGAATAATCCTGAGACTGATTTAGAAATGGTGCAGGTTCCATAGGCAGAAGTAAAAAGCAGTGAGTATTCCAAAGAGTTTAACACTTACACTTTTAAGAAGCAGCTGAAAGGGAGCCTACCCTTATTTTCAGACTCTGTTCTTCTGGGCTACTTTGCCAACTCCAAGCTGATTTGGTGGTTGGGGTCTTTTTCTGTTTTGGTTTGCTTGGGATTTTTATTTTTTTGTTGTTGTTTAATATCTTTGTGAGAACTTCAGGACAGTTCTTTGCTCCAGGAGAAAATAAGTTGCCCCGTGTAGTTAGTGGAATGCGAAGATTGCATTAGTTTATGCACAAGGAGGAATCAGACTAACAGTCCTGGTTTATTGACTGATACAAGATAATGTGGTCCAAACACCAACTGGAGAATCTGGGCAATCAATACTTCCTTGAAATCAAAACTGCATAGTAATAGGGGATTAACAATATTGGATGAAAATGTTGCAGTTAAAATTTTGGAATTAAGCATGCTGTAACTTCTATCTCATTACTTATGTATATACACCAGTTTTTGTTACTACTGTGGTCATGAAATATTTTCAGTGCTAACTTGGTGATGTGAACCATGCCTTTTTAGGAGTTACTGTCTATCTATGACTGTAGAGAGACAAACACTGACTGCCCAGGCTCCAGGCTTTGGAGGAGGTTTCCTGAGCATGTGCAGGAGATCTTGGAACCTCACTTAAATACACGGTATATGACAACTTAAGCTATTTATCTTCTTAACAGCTTTAAAAACTTTGTTTTTTTCCAGGCAGGCAATAACTTCATTTGGTTTTGTGATTATTGCTCTCCTGTGAAGAGTGATACGTGTATATGCAAAATTTAGATAAGGTCTTTATATGTAAAGCTGAATTTCCACTTCTTTAATATAATCCGCTGTAAATCGAACAAGTAAAATTCTAAGCTCATACTTGAAAATTTACTTGAGTACAAACTCAAACCCATTGATATCCCTTTACTGCTATGCTTTACAGAAGTAGGAGGAGCTTACTGGATTTTAATTGGACTTTTCATTATGTTGAATTAATGATTAAAAATAATGTGAAGAAAACTTCAAATTATGTATGCACCTTAATTGGAAATAATCAACATTTTCCTTTCCATCTCCTCATGAAGACACTCATGGTCATCTCTGATAAGTTTTACCTTCTTAGAAAAAAAAAAATTTTGGATTTTCTTGGCTTTCATATATGTGCGGGGTTTTGTCTGTCAAAAACATAGTACTCAAATATTTATCCAACTGCATTTCTTACAACTGATTTGAACACCACTTTGAAGTATTGAAAAATTCTGGTAACATGTTAGGTTGTTTGTATTTCATGTTTCATTTTAAGAAGCTCTAGGAAAAAGATGTTGGGCATTGAAATACTTTCTTAATTCTTTTTTAAAATATTCAGAGGATGAAACCTAATATAACTCCAGGTAGGGAACTTCATAATTAATGATGTGCTATTGTTTTAGACTATATTAAATAAAAAAGTTAATTTCATTAAATGGATGTTTTTAAATTACAGGTACAAGAGTTATCAAAAGGCTGTAAATTGGTCTAAAGTGAAGAAGCCAATTTACTTAAGCAAATTAGGCGATAACTTTGCAGAATGGTCGGCAACTTGGGCAGGTTATCTTATAACAAAGGTAGGAGAGTAAGTCTGCTCTCTATATTGGTATGCACAAGACAGTTCTTGAACCACATTTTGGTTTCTGAAAGTCAGGGCTGGATGGGGCAGTATGTCTATTCACTGTAGGCCTGTTGAAGCACATACTTCTTGCATCATCAAGGTAACCATGCACCTTCCCTTGCCCAGCATTGTTGATTCTTAGCCAGGCTTCACAGGTAGCATGAAAGCCAAAAGTCTAAGAAGTTTGCCCTTATCCAAAGACTCTTGTATAGCTAGCTGAAGGCATTGACAAGTGCTACTGAAAAGTATCTGAAATGCTTCTGGGAAGCCTCAAATTTACTTTCTCGGTTTCTGAAAGATTTCTTTCATTTCCCCATAGCTCCACAGTCCTAGCACAGAAAAAGTACTTGCCTCTTTCTTCCTTTCTTTTCCCCTTTCCAACATGTAAGTGACCCACTGAAAATTTTACATCTAAATCAACCACTTCAAGAAGTTAATTTAATCACAGTAGCTCAGTAGCTACACTGTCCTCTTCCTATTTCAGATAGAGAAGAATTTCAAGTCTTCATAATTTCCTACATTTTACAGGCTTTTAAGAGCAGAAGAGAGGCTGAGTGCAGTAGTAGACTCTTGGACTTAAGGTTGTTTTTATTTTTATGGCCAGTGCAAATTCACAATGGTGTAGAAAACATGGAAAATTGGAACATGTAAGAAATAATTCCCTGCGTTTTTGTGGTATCAGCACAAAATATATCATTGCTTTGTGTATCAGATATTGATACATGTAATAGCAGCTGCCATTTGGCATCCCTGTTGCAGGTTTAAGTCTGATGAACCTTCTGTAGTAGACAGGTATCTTACAAATTCTATTCCATCACATAATTTTATTTGTTAACAAAAAGGAAACCTATTAGTTGTTAAGGCATTTGCACTTCTGTAATGATGCTTTTCCTGGAAATAGGTACGACATGATCTTGCCAGAAAAGTTTTCGATTGCTGTAGTATTATGATGAAGAATGACTATAAAGTGACAATTTATCTGCTTCCACACATCCTTGTCTATGTTTTGTTGGGATGCAGTCAAGAGGATCAACAAGAGGTGAGATGTGTAAGATGTTATGTTCTCTACTAGGAATGTTCAGGAGCTGTTCTTCGTAAGAGCTGTTCAGCTCTGCAGAGTTACTGTAGATTTACACGAACAAATTCTATAGGTGTTAAACTCCTCCTCCTTTTCCTATATTAATAATATGTATTTTCTTTTAGGGTTTTGGATATACTCATACAGGTTTGTAGAACTTCTTTTCCATGGATTTCCATCTATTTCTTCAGTAGGGCCTAGGATGAGATATTGTGCAGTTAATTATGACTGCAGTAACATCAAGAGCTGGAGTGGTACAAAGAGGAAGAGAGTGCAACACAAACAGGGAATAAATTAAACTTGTATACTTCCAAGAATTCAAACACATAATTTTTTCTCTCCCTTTCATACACTTACAATTTAAGTGGAAAAACTATTTAGCTACCAGGTTCATGCAGAGCAGGATTCATAGATGTCTTGTAGCAAAGCAGGGATAGGAGCAAAAAGATTATCTAGTCTGCTTTCCTTCAGTTTGCTTTAGCAGAAGTTGAAGAGACTCAAAATATAACTTACTTTATATTAAATTGAAATACGACAGCTAAGATATCTGTATTTTAAAATTGTGGGGGTGTAGAGGTGTGTGATGATTTTCCGTGTGTGAACAAGTACATCCACAATAAGCATTTGTTATGTATGTTAACTCATATTCTATTGACTAAAACAAACAGGAAACAGGTCTTTCAGCATGGTATTTTAGTAAATACAAGCAAAAGTAGATCTGTGATCTGATAGCCAGTAGATAACTTGACTTTTATCAAACCCTGAAGTATTGTATTTGCAGCCTAAGTGTAGTAGCATTCACTGTGTCTTGAAACCTAAAATTCCAGTAATTGTGATAGTTATTCTGAATCCAAGGGTTTGCTTTTCAAAAACTTTCTCCCTGTATGGGATCTCCTGACAACAACTGCTACTTTGCCATTTCTTCCTCTCAAGATTGTAAGCCTAGAATTATTAACATATACAATTAAAATATCTAGTCTTTTAGTTCGATTTTTGTGTTAATTGCCATTTCCTACTGTTTTGATGCCTGTTTGGCACTTCTGACTTTTATCATATTAATGTTTGTGTAGGTTTATATGGAGATTATGGCTGTTCTGAAACACGATGACCAGTCTACCAGGAGACTTGAAGACAGTGCATCTGATCTATGTCAGCTGAGCACACAGACAGTGTTCTCCATGCTTGATCATCTCACTCAGTGGGCTAGACATAAGTTTCAAATACTCATTGCTGAGAAAAGTACTGGCAAGTCTAGCAAAGACAGAGGTGATCTAAAACGTGAGTGATGCTCATTTTATTTAAAGTAGCATTTACATTCAAATAAGTATTTAAGTTTGTCACTTCACATTATGACCATTTAAAAATGCAATATTACTCTAATGTTAGTCTGCTTTATGATTTTGTACAATTGTATTGGGATTTACACCCCCTTCCACCCTAAAGCAATTGTTTTGAATGCCAGTAGTAAGAAATGTAGATTCAAAATTAATGAATGAAATGTTAATTTCTTGGTGTTTTTTAAAGATTCTAAAGGTATGGAATAACATATTCCATGCTGTCTTGCAAGATGTATGTTCACCAGGGTTGTTTTACATAAATTTTTGTTGATAGAAGAGAAAAATGAGTCCTTAAATTAATCACATTATCTCACTGCATTGTGAAATGAATTAACTGAGTTTTGATGCTTAAGGTAGTTCTTATAAATAAAACCTCAGTGGACAGATTTCTTAAAATGTCTTTTTTCTATAGCATCAAGTGAG